AACTGTTCCCACGGATGTGTAAACAAACTTGTCACATGATTCTCACCTTGACTTCTCTGCTCGGAAAACCATTCCAGCAGTCTTTGATCCATCTCGGGATACTTTGGTGTAAAACAGCCCATTGTTTTACGTTTTGCGGACAGTTTTATTTCACCGTTGAAGAGGTTTTCTTGGTCTTTTCTCCAGCGACGAACCATTGACTCACTGATGCCGTATTCCCTCGCAATCTCAGAGTTGTTCTCGACGGCTTCTGCTTCGGCGACTATTTTAAGTTTGAACGCTAGATTGTATGATGTACGACGGGCTTTTTGCATGATAACGGATCGACAATGAACGACTATTGACACAGGATTGTTAAAGACAGGTCTCTGAACTCGGAATGTTCATATGATCAAGCCGTGAATTCAATTTTATTCCTTTGATCGGATAACATCAAATTCAGCTTACTAACTGTCATTTGTTGTTATTCTTAGCCATTGTATTGAGTAGTTAACAATATTGATACAGTTGTTTCCTGAGAGGTAAGCCTAGCTTTCGTTAAATATTCATGATAATTGCCCGTGCCGTTGGATAATTAACCCGCTCTTCCATTTCATTTGAACAGATTTTAAAGGCTAACTGTGATTAAAATTTTTCATGAGCTCTTATACGTTTTAAGAACTGGGTCTCGGCTTATAGCTGAATTTTTTGTGTTTATGTTTGAAGACGATCGTATTAAGTTTAAGAGTTAAAAGTTTGGGGTCTCGGCTTTTAGCCAGGCTCGGCTTATAGCCGATAAAATACGGTAAGTAGAAAACCTCGGATAAAATATCTAATTGATTTCGATATACGTGTCAGGTTTTCAACCATTTTCTTTTTCCTTGTGCTGAGAAGAGACCAATCTATCACCGGCTTATTCGTTTTTCGCTGAACCAGCAACTATTTCAAGCTAAACAAATGACAAGTCAAACATTTTGGTTGCTAAGAATCTGTTACATTTTAAACTTTGTAGACTAGTAACACAACATTCTAAATAAATGTCAAAGTTGACCGCTGAACAAGATCTGATCAAAGATGGCAGATTCTCCTTTTGATTTACATCAGCTTTTAGGGAATCAAATTATCTTTTTGCCACTGACACATATCATGTAAGTCGTGTTATAGTGTTAATGAAGTAGGGTTTAATTAATGTTATAGTGTTAATGAAGTAGGATTTAAATAATAGGAACCATCACTAGGTGTAAGATACATGACATGAGAGGTCCCAGAGAGTAAACATATATAGCTAAGTTGCATGCATATTAAGGTTGTGATATATTGTGTAACTCTAGTTTTAGGTAGTGATTATTAAGGTTCGGTCGGCCGTTTTAACCAGGGATTGGCGTCACTTTTCTGCAGTAAGACACAACAACTGGCGACGAAGATGGCTGAAGGAGAAGAACCGACGAATCCGACGGCACAACATATGGTGGTAGTGAATTCGCTCATCGGTCGAGTTGAGGAGTTTGTACCGGGCTCAGACTGGAAGCATTATGTCGAGCGAATGGAAATGTTCTTCGAGGTCAACAATGTGTTGGAAGAAAAAAAGGTACCAACAATACTTACCTTAATGGGTAATAAGATGTATGCGTTACTTAGAAGCATTGTATCTCCAAGAAGGCCGAAAGATTTGTCTTTTGCGGAAATTGTGGATAATTTGGCCAAGCACCTGGATCCGAAGCCGATAGTCATAGCCGAGCGTTTCAAGTTCCACAAGGCGGAACAGCAAGAGTCGGAAGCAATAAGAGATTTCGTTGCTAGATTGAAAAAGTTGGCTGAGACTTGTGAGTTTGGCGGTTATCGCGAAGAGGCGATTCGGGATCGATTCGTATGTGGTTTAAAGGAGCGAACGATTCAACGCAAGTTACTCGCGGTAGCGGACTTAACTTTACAAACGGCTGTCGAGAGGGCGTGTGCTGCGGAACTGACCGAGAAGGAAACCACTGCATTGCATGGAGGAAGTGTGGAAGAAGTAAAAAAAGTGGCAGCTACATTTCCTGAGTGCTTTCGTTGTGGAAAAGTCAATCACTCGTCGGACATGTGTTTCTTTCGCAATTCCAAGTGTCATGGTTGTCAAAAGGTGGGTCACATTGTGAAGAAATGTCCTGAGAAGGAGCAAAAACCTGAAAATGGGAAGAAAAAGTGGAACGCAAAGTCGAAATTTGGG